TGCCCCCACAGACTAGAGCCCCCAGCTCCGACCCGCCAAGCCCCTCCAGAGGCAAAACCAGCTCCGGCATGAGCTCCAGAGCAAAGCCATCTGCACACCAGTTCTCCCACCCAATCTGGCATCGTTGCCAGAGTGAGAGCCAGCCTGAGAACAAGAGCCAATTCTCGAGGCAGCTCAGCGCTGCTGTGGGAGACTGTGGGGGGTTTCCTCTGAGAAGGCACAGGGCCAGGCTGTGGGGATCAGCACAGGGTGATCACCCTGGCAGAGTGGTGATCTTCTCTCCTCCTGCTGCTTCGGCACCATCTCCAGATGGAGGACTGGCCACTGCAGCGGGGCTGGTCACCACTGCAGCGTCGACGTGGCTGCAGAAGCAACTATAGACCCAAAGCCCGCTCCAGAGCTCAAGGCATTTCCATCTTCTGCTGCGGTGCCTTCGCCGGGAGCTCGGGAGCTGGAGCCAAGTGGGCCCAAGTGAGTAAGCCCCCTGCCCCTGCAGCCAGCTCCTGTCCCCGCTGCACAGACACAGGGGCGCTTACCACCTTGGAAGCTAGAGCAGATGCTCGGACCCGCGGCAGAGCGAGCCTTACCTCCACCCATAAAGCCAGAGCCGCAGCACACAGCAACCCCCGCACTGACTGCGGAAGACGGCCCCCCCGATGGCAGCTCCCGAGCTGGCGGCCCCTCCACCTGCACGCCTGGAGCAGCTCCAGAGCAGCAGTCTTCTTGCCGCTGGTTTCTGCACCAAATCTGGCAACAATGCCAGCCTGACAGTTCGCTGAGCCTTGGAGTCCATTCCAGAACCATCTCGAGCCCGACCACCGGGGACGGAGCCAGCTCCAGCACAGCTCCAACTCACATCCTGGGCTGGTTCCACGGCAGGAGCCGGGGGCATCCCGTCATCGCCCGCAGCTCAGGACCAGGGCCCGAGCCCCTCCGCCCAGGGCCACCCGTCACCCATCTTTTTATTTTTTTAAAGGGAAAATTTTTTTAAAACATTTTATTTGGTAGAGAGAGGGAGAGAGCACACAACCAGGGGGAGCAGCAGAGGGAGAAGCAGAAAGAACCCCCCCGCTGAGCAGGGAGCCCGAACCAGGACTCGATCCCACGACCCTGAGATCCTGACCTGAGCCGAAGGCAGAC